GTCATCTAATTAAATGTCACCGCATTAGGTAACATTATTTATAATATGGAAATGTTTTCAAATAATCATTGTAAGATTGAGTGAACTGTAGTAATTCGATGACAATTGACGTTTTGATTTCGATTGTTTAATGTATTATTGAGAAATAGGAATGCAACCATTTCTTTTGTAGTTTTATTAAATTTAGAAGTGTCTTCGGAAAATGGGAATGGAAATTAAAAAAGTGCAAAATGGTAGTAATAAAAGGAAACGTAATTGACATGTTTTGATTTTTCTCAAATGTTTGTGCGTATGAAATTAGTATAATCATTGTGAACCATTGTTTTAATTATCTCCATACTCTATTTTAATTATCTTTTATTTTTATTTTCCGTAGAAAATTTGAGGAATTGGTTAATTATTAATCTTGTAGATATTATTTACATCAAAATGTGGGTGTTAATTTGAACGAGCTTAATTTATTTTGTTCGAAACAAGGCTGATTTTTTTATTGTTACACCCGGTGTGTACACCATCGGTGACAGTAATAGGTTAAGATCCATCGATTAATTTCAAATTGATTGATCTCTGACGAACTCCTTCCGGATACGTTTAAGTCGCTGTTAGGTGCACTTATAGGATGGCAGTTGGTTCCGTGTAGCATAAACTGTGGTAATCGGTTTAGTGGCCCACGCTCACGGACGACCAGGTATTTAGCAAAGTGCATGTAACGACGAGATTACACGCGGTTGTAACACACGACCGACGCAATACCCAAGCGATTTTTATTTAATTTCGTTGAAGCCAGCACGTATTCCGTTTACCGAGGGGATGAAGTTTTCGTCAGTGCTTATGATCTAATATTCATTTGAATGGAAGTTGGTCTCCATCCCACATTAGAGCTCACTAATGTTTTATTGTAAGTATTTATTCCGAGCGTTTCGTAGAAACTGAATATTATGTATCACATACTCCGCGAACATTAAATCCTGTGCACTGGAGTATTTAACAGAAATTAAACGCAACGAGCTAAATATAAAAATACAAGGATCGTTAAAATTCTTTTCCAAGTTCAAAAATATATAAAATGATAATTACTCGAGACATTAATGTAGATAGTTCGAAATATTTATATATATATATTATCCAATTCCTTGCAAGGTCCAATTTAATAAAAATAAATCGCAAACGAAAGGAATGAATTTTCAGCCATCAAGGGATTAAAAAATGCGAGAAAACTCACTGGTCAACCTATCGTTTCGAACTCGAAATCACACGTGATTTCATATTTCAATAAAAACGACGAAACTTCCTTTCGATTATCTAATATTTGCGGTCCGAGGCAAATCTACTGGTAAATATCACGCGGCTTTTCAATTCTGTTTCAGACGGGGCCATGAACAATGAGGCTCGAGTGTCGTCTCGAGAGAGAAAAGAACGAAAGAAAGAAAGAAAGAGTCCAAAGTAGGATGAACCGTGAACAGTCTTGATTCCTTGGTTGCCATCGCTGAGTGCAGCTCCGGAGGCTTCTCTGCGCTCTTTGCTTCTTTCTTCCTTCGATCTTCGCCCTCCGACACCCTATTTTCCTGCGGCTTCTAATGGCTCTCGAGGGTCCCTGTCTTATCGGTAACCCGTTTTCCACGGATCCGTTCTCAATGAAGAATCTGTACTTCTATTTTCCAGTGTCCTCACGGCGACACGGGGACGGAGCGATCCCGCGAACCGGGAAACGGCGGCTCCAACGTTGGAGGACATCGGGGATTCGCGGGGAACATGAACGTTACGGCCGGGCCTGACTCTTTGCTCTACCCGTACATTTTTCCTCTGGGTGAGCAAAGTTTCAGGTGTGTCCGTGGCAGTCGGTCGTCATGGATTATTACGAACCCGAATGATCGATGCTGCTTCGACGACTCTAATGGAAATCTGAATTATAGACGAGCAAGAAAGAAAGATGCGAGAAGGATAGAGGATTGGGCACGTTTCGTGTTGGCTTTGCTGGTGGACACATCAGTGAGGTTAGCTGGTAGACCCTGTCTCAGACCGGTCTTCGACGAATGGTTAACACTTTGTCTACTGGAAACGTATAAATTGGATTCGCAAGAATAGTGCTGTATGAAAAAGTAATGTCGAAAGAAATGGTTGGACTAGGTTTTCTGAGATGATATGGTAGATCAGAGCTTTAATTGCTGTGGCTATTGAGGAATGGATATTAAAGAATACTTGGGTATTGTTGATTCTTTAGAGACTATTAGTATAGATACAGTGTTGACATATTGACTGTTGAAATATCGGGAAGTTTTTGCAAAATTGAAGTACTCTGTTTGATTAAATAGAAACTGATGGAAGTAAATATGATTAGAAGTAATTAACAGTATGAATTATCTAGTTTTGATTCATTTAACGGAGAATAACTTTTAGAAATGTTCTCGAAATTTTGCATAAATGAACTGTAGAGTTCATTTTTTCTCGACATTTAGAATCTGGGCTTCGAATAAAGTAATACGAATCGCAAAAGGTTAAAAAGCTCATTTTCGATTGTTAAAAGATTAGGGACAGTGTGCATGAATTAACATATTTTCCAGCATCGTCTGCAAGAAGTATAAAATAAATACTCGGGACCGGCCAAGTAGACTCGACAGTACTCTTACGCCTGAAATTTGCTTTTTACCTGGACCTCATACTCTCTTACTTTGAGAAAATAAAGGTGAGCAAAGTTTCAGGTGTGTGAGTGCGTTGGATTCAACAAGTAAGTCTGAATAGCGAGGAATTCTGGAACAGAATGCTGAATAAAAGACGAATCGAAGGAAAAGACGAGGTCGAAGATGTAAAAAGTAACTGGAAGAAAAAATGTACATGTTCGCGAGTACCGTAAAAAGATAAAGAAATAAGAAGATAGAAAATTAGATTTTTCACTTCATAGTAGATGAGTGTGAAATACATACATTTTTACTTCAACACGTTCATCATAGTAATCCACTGATTAGTTACTGTTTACATCACAAAGAAATTGACGTAACTACTTGTAATATTGTTAAATATTGTTACAGAATAATTATAAGAAACCATGAATAAAAAACTGATTTATAGTTGCATAAGTCTGTAATATTTGATAAACCTAAATAAAAGAATTTGAGAAAAATGATATACATCCAGTGTGAACCTTCCATATCGTATGTATCGTGAGAAATGTATTCTAATACACTTGCTCGACAATTTAAACAAAAATTTGTATTAATCATAATTGTGTTATTCAAATCAATTCAGTATAGTATATATTAAAATTTACATGTTGATATTTTTAGAACTATATTTATGAACATACAATCCCATTTTACTCGAGCATACTGACTGCGTGTAGATAGGGATGTCTATGCTTTTTGTTTTACAATTATACCTGCAGCTATTTGAATCGTCCATGGTGCGTCAAATGGAAACTAATACATTCCGGAAAATTCATGCAACCGCGAAAGATCCGTTCAAGAAACAGTCTAAGATTAGCAGAGAAGTTTGGCAGGTCTTGGAAAGACTAATAAATCAAGTCGAGCGTTAGAATCTGGTTTCCGTCAGCGTCAGGCTTCCCTGTACGCGTATAAATCGATAACAGAGTCGTTAAAGCCAGTGTAATTGAGAGAATGTAACTTTACACTTCAAAGTCAATAAGGAACTAAAGCTACGTTCTTAAACAGCGAAATTCCTGTAACTTTGTGTGCATACTTAAAAGTTTAAATAATAATAAATACAACCGTAATGAATGAATTCAATTAAAGTATCAACATAACTTAGTTTCCCTTGCACATGTGAATCCATTAAGTGCACTATATATTATCATAAAAGTTCTTTAAATTAAACCTATATTTCAGCATATAATGCGGTACTAATTACTATTGAAACAAGATCGTATCTAGCGACAGTTCACAAGACAATGTATCATTGTTTAAATATAACGCGATTATGGCGAGCAACGAACCCGATTTTACAATCATTTTATTGGCTGGCCCTCGTAAAAGCCGTGTCCATATGGGCTTGGTTTTGACGTATGGCTTTATGCACGCAGCTTAAAATCCGTTGGATACTTCGGGGAAATCCGGGTAAGATTGCTACTTCAGCGCTAGCACCTGAGGCGGCCTCGCTGGGAAGTTCAAAGAAGTGGGGATTACTCGGTTTACCAGACCAATACGGATTTCTATAATAATGTGGTAGATAACAGCGACGCGAGCCTGAAGAAATTAATGAAACGCGATTTTAAAGAGGAAATACTGTATTCAATATTTAAGCAATCAAAAAGGATTAACCCGATTAAACTCTGTATAAAAGTGTAGACTACAGGATGAACATAAAACTGCATTATTAATTTGTTCACGTTGAACGCTATAATAAAGTATGCTCTAAATGTCTGAACTTGTAAATGAAACATACTGTTGAAACGGCGACGTTTACTGTAACCGTAACCGTAATAATTATTAACCGAAAATACGACTGGAGCAGTGTTTACGGTCATTTCAGCCGAAATTCATGAGATTCTAAACCACATTTACGATCAAGAATGAAATTCACGGGAGTTCCTCACTTTGAATTATGGTCTAGACCGAAGTCCATTTTCGTTGTTCAAGTATAAAATTCGAGAATATATCGCAATATACTACAGATGAAAATAAAACTTTTAATTCCGATGGACGAATGTCTTTCTTCAAATACAGATACCAATCGTTTATGTATTATTCCTTACTCTATAAAAATAACTTTTCATCTGTATTTAGATAAGACAGAAATTCAAAAAATATGTTTAGTGAATCTTGACAGTACAAATCGTCTACAGGTAATAAGATAATAAGATAATAATCATTTCTCTATAGACAAACAACGCGCAACGATCGTATTGGTTGCAGAGTTGATGTATCCTACGTTGCGCGTAACATTTCGACTGTTATATCCAGGGCGAAGGTGCTTAGCCGCGAAATGGCATTGCAGCCGTAAAAGATTATGAACTTTACAACCCTGTAACCGAAACTGCATTTTGGGGCAGCATTGTTGAAAGTTTCTGGTCGATAGTTGATAACGCTACAAGTTAGTTATTACCGAAAGTTTCGCCACTAAACCATCCGACGGATACTGTTGCTGGCATCGAATTTAAACTGTTAACACATCCACTAACCTATCGTACATTCGAGGTATATTATTCGCGATAAGAACGGCCCGCTTGCTATCGTGTTTTCCGTGTGCAGTTCGGTATTGGACAAGTTATGGTATCCGTTGCTACTCTTTATTGCGGTTTTCGGCCGGCTGAGATAATTGGAAAAGTTGCTATCCGCCGGCTAAATCCTTTGTGCTCCATTTTATGCAAACTGAACGGGAACCCCTAAATTGTTCATCGCTTTGGCGAAAGAAAAATTACAATTCCAGCGTTCCGTTGCGCACCTCGACTTAAATGTTCAAACGTCTGCTTTGCTAATGTTGCAAGCGTTGTTTCCTATTTAATGAATTATATAAAATAATGTTCTACGTCAAGAAAACAATATCACTAAACCGAAAAGTAGATCAAAATAAAGGAATATAACGATTTCAAAGTCAGAAACTTTTCAACCACCCTGTACAGTGAGTTAAGACGCAGACGTGAAACATGGTTGTCAACCCCTTGTCTTGCGATTTCTTACGCAATTGCGATCGTTAGAACTATTTCTAATGATTTAATCTTTTTTCTCTTGTTCTGCATCTACGTTTACTGTAAAGATTAACAGCTAAAGGAAGATGATATTTAATTTGAACGTGAAAGAATTGAATGATATTTATTACTATTAAATTCTATCCGAATCTTTCGTCACGAGTCTGCAAGGGGTTAATCAGGAAAGAATACCAATACGTCCAATACGTTCCGTGTCAGTTGAACATCGAACAGTACCAGAAATTGTGGACGGTAAGTACTGAACAACACGAGAACTTCGATTTCTCTCTCGACCCTTATTCCGGCAATAAAGTACGAAACAAACAAATCCCGGTAGAATTGTTCCAAAGGTTTCCTTTTCATTCGTCCGTGAAATTGAGCAATTTAATAAAACGCCGTTCATAACTGGCGCAGAAATTGTCACAAACAGAGGATCGTGATCGTAACTTGAGAAATAATGCCACAAATCGACCTTCGTATCGGAGCCAGTCCAACTCCCGTTTACCTTAGAGTCGGGAGAAACAACTGGTGTGCATAGGTAATCCCTGAAACGATAAACCCGAAGTGCATGTAAGTAGCATGGTCGGCTTTACGCAACACCTTGCCGCGACAAAATGGATATACCTTGCGCAATGTCTATTAATAAACTAGTCCATAGACAGACGATAATAAAAGGCGACAGTGTTGTTCGGAACAAGAATAATAAATCACGCCTCAAATTGGCAAATTTACAACAATAATAGTCGTCCATTTCTTAGGCAACACTGTCGCCTTTGTGCCGATTGCTTCTTGCGACACAGGGTGATAGAAATTGAAATCTAAACTGTTCGTAATAATTCAATTGAAATTCCTGATCTGAACGGAATTTATTGGTTCCGCGATCGAGATATTTTCCTTTCTGTTTCCTTTGATACCGAAATAATGACTTCGTGATCTCACGATTTACTCACGGAGAGGAAGAACAGAATGCTTCGTGAATCCCAGAGAGACGAGTAACAGGCTAAAACTTTCCTTAATCTATTTCAATCACTTATGTGTGAATTTGTTAAGTATCCTTACAACTATTTTTATGAAACGTATTTCGAGTCGGATAAGCTACGAGACTCGATATTAATTTCACGAAATATTGACTATAAGGTTGTTGAAAAGAAGGCGTTCATTCAAAAATGCAAAAAAAGACTCAATGATTCTCAAAAAGGAGTCACCAGTTCATTGAAAATTTGTTTACCAGATTTTGTAAATTGTTAGATGCCCCTTTAGCTAAAATATACTGTCATGTGTTGAAAAGTATATTTAAATTTAATGTTTTGTACATAGAAAGTTAATATAAAATGCTAAACACCATAGAATTTTAAGGTAACTCTTTTGAGGTCGTCATTTTGAACGTAAATACAGGTAAAAGGTTTTATGATCATTGATTCATTGCCGCTAAAATTTGAAAATACAACTAGCTCCCAAGTGTGCCAATTTACTGTCAATAAATATAACTGCATATTAATAACTAGACAAACATTTGACTGGGATTTTATCATTAAACTAGGAACATTTACATCTCCCCAAGATGTGCTGGATAGGGAATTATTATAACGAAATTCCCTGTGAGAAGTGAAAATATTACTAAGTAGTGGAAAAATAGCAGCTGACATTTTACGTTTGCATTTAATAGTCTAGGGTTTTTGCGATTGGTGCATAATTGTGCAGTAGAGAGTGATGTGTAAAATCTTAAACAAAGAAATTGTTATGCGAAACGAAATAAGATCATAATAAGAACTGTAAAGGATTTGAAATAATATCTACTGTTAACGTTCGAATTCTTTTTCATCCAAAAACATAATCGCATTATTGCGCCTAATTCGTGCAATTATGTTATGAATCTGTTGATAGGAATGTCATCAGATACTATTTTGATTGAACTTTGTTAATATTTACGAAAGAATTGGTGAGTCCAAATTTCATTACAAAAAAAAGATACGGAAAACACTATTTGACATATGTCAGTTACAGATTCTATTAAGTTGTTTTCTGTGTGTAAAGGATATTATATAAAACATAATAAGTGTAATACATAATTTAATGAAACTGAACATAATATCAGTGACATACCTTTGTTTATCATCTGTCTATTATCTAAACTATTGATATTGACTTTTTTTTGTAGATAAAATCATGTTGCAGTATGATACTAATACTAAGATTGTTTTGATATTACAGCGTCATTAATTGTAGCTAGTAAAATTTATTTTGAAAGATGATTTACTTTAGATTTAAAGTGTTCAGTTTTAGTATTTTCAGTTAAACAAATTAAATAAAATTGTTCTTTTGTATTTTCTTTGTATTTTACATTATGCAGCTTTATGCATTACATTTGTTATTGTATGCAATAATAATAATAATAATAATAGTTGATATTAATATATACATTAATATTAGCTTGAATTCTTAAATGTTAATATATTGAACTTCCAGGTATTCATTTTTGGGAATCATTAAATGCTGCAATTAAGCTAATGTTAACATGAATGAATTTTTCACCATGGAATCCAGTCAAGAAGAGAAGTCTCTTGTAAAAGTACAAAATTCTGAAAGTTCAAAAATATCTTTGGACTCAGAGACTCGTTTACAAAGTCTTGGCTTCATCATAAACAATGGAAAGGCTAGGTTTATGTTAGAAGATGATACACCGATGTACTCGAATGCTGCATTAACCAACTTTAGTATTACTGATCCAAGTGATACATTATCTTTTGTGGTGTTGGGTAAAGATTCTATGGATTTCATTCAGGCATCTTCGATTGCATCATATGTTGATATTGAACGTAAAAGCATGTCTGTTGTATGTATCTATGACTTAGCTGAAATTAAGGAACTTTCCTACTTCAACATTTTAAATCTAGAATTTAATTTGAAAAAACTACAAATTAGTCAATTCTTAACTTCGATATGTTCATTCATACCAATTTTTATAACTAATAGAATTTAAAAGATTTGAACATTTAATAAAACAGTATCTTTTAATAAAGACCTAGAAGTATTTGTGCACATTTAGTTTTAAAACAATGTGCAATTAGGAAGCTTCCTTTCACTTATTAAATTGTAAAATTTGGGCATTTAGAAAGTTTATTTAATGTGTAGGATTATAATTCTATGATTGCGTCGTGGAATTCAGATGAGATTCATGAAAAATTAAGTGAGTTACTACAAGAGAATGGAAAACTAAAAGAAACATTAAAACAGAATAATATTGCTATGAAACAACAGTTTAACACTTTAGTCAATTGGCAAGAAGAAATTATGAAAATACATCAGAGTCACAAGAAAAAATTTGCTGAAACCAGAGAATTAATAAGTTACTTACAGAAAGAAAATAATGAATTCAAAATGAGACTGGCTACTGGGGGAATTAGTACCGAACCAGGGTATGAGGTATGTTTCATTACATTGTATCTTACTCATTGTATTTGTTAATATTATTAATTTCCTAAACAGATGCTAAGTGCAAATGAAATGCAAAGTACTAGTGACAAAAAAGAGTCATCTATTCTTGGAACAGAACTTCATGAAAAAGTATCTTCATTAACAGAAGAATTAAGTAACTCTAAACAAAAATGTGAAAAATTATCCTCTGACGTTGAGAAATTACTTAGTATATCAAATTTAGTGAGTTCTCAATTGAAGCAAGCTACTTCTACGATACAAGATCAGAGGCTCAATATAAAAAAGTTAGAGATGCAAGCTTCAATGTCAAAATCATACGATTCAAATCATTTTAATCAGTCCCTTAATTATAATATCCCTAAATGTACTGAGTTTACAAATAAACATATAAATTGTGAGAACTGTTTGATAAAAGATAAAGAAATTAACTCCTTAAAAGAATCTCTTGTTATGCTTCAACATAAATTACAACATGTAAGTATTTGGACTAATATGTACAATTTACAGTATATTGATGACACAAATATTTTAGGCTATTCTGTATGAGCCAGAAACAGTTTTGAGAGAAAAAATAGAAGATATAACACAAACTAATATGTCCACTGAATCTGTTAAGGATAAGACAGAGTCAGTAGAACAGGGCATTGAAAATAAACAGTCATTAGAAGAAAGTATGAGTTTACTTGCCAAAGAAAAGGAACGTCTGAAGGAAACAGAACAGTTATTAGACAGCCAAAAGAAAAATCTTGAAATGGAACGCAAACATTTAAATGAAGCAATGGAACTTCTACAGCAAGAAAAAATAAGTTTGAATGAAGAAAAGTCATCTCTTGATCAACAGAGTCAGTTGTATGAAAGTCATTACAAAACTGTTCTAGAAACAGAAAAAAATAAATGTGATGCAAAATGCAGTCAATTGATCAGTGAAATTGGTATTTTGCATGAAACTGTACAGAAAAAGGAATTACGTGTGAAAGAGTTAGAAGCAGAGATAAAACAACGTGTAAGTACAAATTCTTATTTTTTAATCTCTAAAAAAATAAAAAATATTAATTAGATCTATACATAGTTTAAGAATTTATAAATCATTGCTTTGAGAAAATTGCAATTTAAACATTTTTCTATTTGTGTTTCTAAAATGGCTAATCATTCTCTTTAAAAATATATAACTTTTGTATTTTTTAAATCTCTTTATATAAAAAATAATCATTCGATTTTTCAAAAAGAATACTTCTTTAAATACATTCTTTAAATTAACAGTTTTAAAGATGGATGTCATAGTATTTTTTCATTCTTAATATAGGAAGAACATATTGCCTTGCTGCGAATGCAATTAGAACTTTATGAAGAAGATTTTACAAAAGAAAAGAATCAGAAAGAACGAATATTGGCAGAAAAAGATGAACTGAATGATTCTCTACAGAGACAAACGGAACTTAATCAACAATTACTAGGAGATATTTCAACATATTTGTATAGATAATTCACTGGGACATCATCAAAATAAGAAATACTATTATTTCTCATGATTTCTTTGCAGATATACTTAATATTTCTGTTAATGTCAACATTTTTGTCCTAAATATGATAGCGCAGTCAAAAATGTACAATTTTTGAGACAACTGTTATTCAGTGTTTGAAGTAAGAATAATACAATATTCTACATTACTTCTTTTGTATAGAATAGTGTATATTATTGACAAATGAAAATGTTACCAAGTTAAGTTATAAGAAAAGATGTAAAAATTTATATGTAATAAATCCTGTAAAAAGATTGACAAATAAAATAATATTCCTAAACATTAAAGTACAAAGTAAATTAATTAAGTACATTAAAAATTTATGGTAGTACCTCCTGCACACAACTGTAAAAGGCTAACAAAGATTTCTTTAAAACTGATTTCTATAAACAAGAAATCTAACACATAATTGGGTAATTAATTTCATAATACATTTAATTTAATCAATAAATAAACAATAAATATATAAATGTATAATATATACATTTAATAAAATATTAAGTGCCATAACGGTATATAACTTACCAAATATATAGCCATTCTACCAATAATGCTTCATATTTTGTTTAAAGCATTGTCATAGTAAAACTTTGCTTTAGTATTATAGTAGAACTATACACAAAGAAATCTGTTTCTCTTTTCAATAAAAAACACATATTTTATACATTAACACTTATGAAAAATGTTTGATCAATTGTTCTGTCGCGGCACTTCCGAATAACTCAGTTAGCGCCTTTTCTTTTCCTATCTTATTGGTCTAGAGCTAGGGACCAATGAAATGGGGTTAAAATGTCATAGTGCCTTTTTCAAATAACTGGCAACACTGTCGCACCATATGGCATGTTATAACGTATCAATTTTAAACAGTATCAGTTGTACACTGTTGAGTGATTTATGGAAGCCCAATAGTTTCATTTATGCAATTTGTTTCTTAATATAATGCATTAAAATGTCAAAATTTCGACAACAATATAAAGCAAAGACTTTCGGTTTTGGGGATGCAGCTGCAGCTCGAATTGTTCGTACAGAAAACCACGAAAAGGCACGTAAAAATTCCAGGTCCAAGATTTTCACTGGAAATAGAAATATTTTAAATTCTAAATCTAATACAATACAGAATAATGGTTTGTAGAATAATTTATTGCTGTTTAATGTATTGTTATTGTCGTGATTATTCATTATGTGATTACATTTTGATTTCAGAACCAAAAGTATCTTCTGCATCAGGAAACCATACAAGTCGGTTAATGGAGTGGAAAGTAGAACGTGAGAAGTCTAAAAAGATGGAACAAATGCATAAAAAACGTCCTTTTATAGTTGGTGCTGTTCACCATAAACTTTATTCACCTTTATCTACAAATAATGTAGTTGGAAAAAAATTGAATGTACCACCCATTCCCAAAAAAGTTTCTAAAGTTACAGAAAGAAGACTAATGCTTAAAAGTCAATCTCAAAAAGTATCAAAATCTGTAGTAAAAGATTCAAAATCCTCCATAGAATGTTCAAGAGAAAAACAATCCTTTGCTCCTATAGATCAAAAAGTGAAACCATTGGAAGAACCATTACATCAAGAACCATTATTTGGTCGATCACAATGTAGAATGTCAATTAACAACTTTTGTAACAAGAATACTGAGAACATTAATACAGAAACATCTAACAAGAATTTACCTAAATCAAACTATTCTGAATTACCTAGTGAACCAGTTTTTTTTTCACCGTATGTAGTTTCTAGTCGTGGTAAAAGCAATGCCAGAACTGAACAGCAGATAAAACGTGGTTTTAGTCTTAGCCGATCATTAAGTGATGAGATTCCTACAAAGGATACTGTCATGAAAAATCTTAATATTTCAATTGAAGAGGAAGAACGAACTGCACAATATTTTCAGTTTCTTCTGAATGGAGAAGTAGATAGATTAAATGAATTATGTAATAAGTGGACATTGGTGAAAGAAGAATCAGGTATTACAGAAGATGGTCAGTATCAAATTAATCAGGCTATTGGACAAACACAATTGCTCATAAATAAAAAGTTTGAAAGATTTCGTGGTTTAGTTTCCGATTGTGAAACGGGAAAAGGAGAAATGTTAGTTACCTGTAAAGATTTACAAGGTTTCTGGGATATGATGTATATGGAAGTAAAAAATTGTGATTCACGGTTTGATAAATTAGAACAATTGCGTTCAGAAGGTTGGAAAGAAGAAGAAAATGTACCTGTTATTACTAAAGTTACAAAAAAGAAAACAGCTACGAAGAAAAAAATTATGCCTAAAAAATCCAGTTCAATAAGAACTTTCCTAGCAGAAAGAAAAAAGAATATAGCAAAAGAAATAAGTAACAATAATGGCACAGAAGAGCTTAAGATCTTTGATAACAAATATAAAACTAGAAGGTTTAGTAGTTCTAATGTTAAGAAATACACCCCTGTTAAGTATGATAGAACAAAATTAAATTTGTTGCAAAAAGTACAACTGTCAGAAACAAAAAAACATAAAAGTCCTTTAACTATGATGAAAATAAGTCAGATGTGTAAAACACCAGAGGTTCAGTTAGACGATACAATTTCATATATTAATTCTGATCAAACTCCAGGGAAGAGTATACTGAAACAGCCAAAGAAGTCAAATGAGATAGGATCCTGTATAAAGACATCGCATAAAGTTAATTTTAATGATACTGTAGTTTTAAATGAAGTTCCCATGGATGAAGAAACACAAACAAAAATGGAGTTAGCTGCAGCATTAGCAAGAATAGATAGTCTTGAATTTAATAATTCAGTTGAGGAAGAATTAATACATGCAGAAAGGAAGCTTACCTTTGATGACAATAGCTTTGAAGAATATGAAGATGTATTTGATAAAAATGAGCCTTCTGGCTTGAAGATTTCAACAAAAAATACTATGAGTGTACCATCTACACATGTAGAAACTGCAACATCAATTAAAAAACCTACACCATATCATAGTTCAGCTACTCTTTCGCCAAGAAGAAGTTTGAGAAGACAAAGTGTTGTAAACGAAACAATTGCAAGTATAACACCAAATATTGTGCCATCTGAAAATGCTGTACACAATACAGACTTAAATGTGATTACAAGAAATTCACAAGAACATATTCTTGCAAGTGATGAAGAAGAAGTAGATAAACACAATGAAAGCATAAGAGTTCTAAGAAATAGAAGTATTACTTCAGTAAGTACACCAATTCTAAGGGGGAAATCTGGAAAGGTATCTACAAATATACAACAGTCAGAACATAAAGAGAATATCAATTCAAAAATTGATTTATATAATGACATTAATACCATGAGGTCAAATGAAAAAAGTGATAGAAGAAAATCGAGAAGGAATGTTAAATTTTCTGGTAAAGATGATCCTTAGTAACATATTAATTATGTTTGATGTAAATGACACTAATTTTAATAAATAGATCTTGTTACAGAAGGAAAGTGTAATAGTGAAATAGAAAAATCAGTACTTCCTATGACTCCTCATATTAAAAAGAGTAAATCCTTAGGAGTACTTAATGAAAAGAAAAAAAGTATAGGTACACAAGATACTACATCATTTGAAATAATAGGTAAATGTTATTGTTCTTTATTGTTATTTTTAATCTTTGAAGATAATTATTCATTTCAGTCTATTTCAGCTCCCGCACGCATTAGGAGGTCGCAAAACAGAACAAAATAGTTCTTGCATTATAATTGAATTATTTAGTTAAAAAAACATATTAAACTAATTTTTACTTAAAACTTATGTTTAATTAAATGTTTTTAATTATAAGGTATCTGTATGCAGTACAAAACTTTTAATTTCACTGTTTACTTTTTTGTTTGACGCTATTGCAATGTTTTTACATTTGAGACTTTCAGGCATGACTCATGTTTTCTTCGAAAAATTATTACAGCGTTGATAAACGGATTAATATTATTGATGAGTGTGATAAATCATTATTAACATTTGATATTCTAGTAATAATTCTTATTGTTGCATTTTTTATTGGTCATACGATATTATTTAAATGTTGAAGTTTGAGAAGTGTAATATTTGTATAATAAGATATAAATATAAGTTTAAATGTAATATTTATTCGTGTTTTATTTAATGCATTAAATATATGAAACTAATTTTACGTTACGTAATTAATAGAGAATATGTTTTATTTGAAAATTGTAATTGTATAGATGAATTTTTATACGAATGAAACCATTGTAAATACGTATCACGATGTTTGAATAACTATGCATTATGGATATTTTTTTAATTTTAACATTTTGTGTTAAATAAATATTTATTGAATTATTCCACATTTTAATAATTGCGTAATTTTTTCTCGGAACACGATTCATTTTGTCGGCATTATTAATCTCATTTTAATCTTCCCATTAATCATTTGTTTTTATTATTTATTGATAATGTAATTATATATTGTAAAGTGGTGATAAATTCAATATGGTGCCGATGCCAGATTGACGTTCATATCCTAAGCTTCGGGAGCAACACTTAGAAATCGAAAAATATTTTATATTCTTTTTATTGTGAATAATTTTTAGTTGCAATTTGAGTATTTGTTATTTAGCTTTTCCATGGGAGTAAAGACATTCTTTAATTATTCAAGTCATATTTTAATAAAAAATACTTCTTACTTTCTTGATACTGCAATCTACACATAGAAAATATTAATCCGAATTCATTTTTATTTGTTTTCCTCATTTGCCGAATAACAATAATTTCAACTTAGATTTTATTCACTGTGAAGAAGGTGCAATATTCAGTCTCAAACGATAAAAAATGTAAAAAGAATCTTCCATCTTACAACAGGAATAAACCTTGAAATCTACAATTATTTATTAGCAATTTATACCGTGATACTTCATAAACAGATGTATCATGTTCATTATTTACTATTTCAAATACGTCTTTTCTAATCCAACGATAAACGCGCGTAGTTTCAGAAGCCTGGCAGACCCATGAACCCTAGAACTACCATATCCATCAAAATGAAGGGTTTTAGTTTTCTAATCTTTCAATCATTAACATTTTACAAGTATTTAATATCCAAAATTCTCTTGAAAATAAATAGTTTCGCTTAAATACTACAACGAATATCCGAAGAAATCGAAAAAAATGTATTATTACAATCTTTACACGAATTACGTATCAACCCCGATAAATGCTCGGTAGCTCTGGCGTTAACCGATTAAGGGTTGATCCGTAGTAGAATATTCGTGTCTTGGACAACCGCGTTAACACCCTTTCAGCATTCCTCTCGTAGGAAATGCGGATCGGTGGCGGGCCGATAAACACCATGAAATAGAATAAAAACAGGGGGAATGGTCGGCGGGGCACAGTCGGGTTGGAGTTGCGGCACGCAAGCACAGTGAGCCCGGTGCGGAGCGGAGCGCAACTTCAGAACCGTGTGCAGTGGGTGGGAGTCGCAGCCCCCGTGAGTCAAGAGAGTGAAGAGTAACTGAAAGAACGGACTTCTACTCAGTCTGTCCGCGACCGTCCGTCAAGCAGACGTCTCCGACTCGGTCCGGTGGTCCATCATTTACGGAGTGTCTCGTTCAGTAGTGTCACCGAGGCCTCGTAGAAGCCACATGTCGCCTATCGTGCGTTGGTTACCGGCGTCCTGATCCATCAACGATCATCGCTAACAGCAGATAGCAGCTACTATCCTCCACGTTTCCGGTCACGATCGTGTTTGACAGTTCAAACCGAGAATCGCCCGCCGTGCATGAAAGTGACTTGACCGTGCGATCAGTGGCAATAAGGTGCAAAAGATATGTGGTTCGCGAACGTCCTCGCAGGCTTTATCGGCCTGACCCTCGTCGGGTCACCACCTTGGTGTTCCGACGCCTTCAACGTGGAGACGAAGCACACCACGGTTTATCAGTTGGACAGCACATACATGTTTGGGTTCGCGGTGTCGATGTACCGGGACAAACAGGGTCGAGGCTGGTGAGTACTTTTCGATATATGCTTTCGTCTCGTGATTGACGCGTTGCTGATACGGGTTAGCTAATTTTTTTATTGGCCGAGGTTTGTTGACCAGTTGATCTGTCTTACACGTAGAAAAAGGGGAGCCGCGATAAACGGTTACTTTCGCGGAAAGTAGATTGGCAATAACGTGTTAAAACGGTGACTGGTTTTTCTTTGGACGACGGGTTTCTATTGATCCCGTGATCTATCGGTTTTATGTTTCAATTAGTTTGTGTCTTGAACATTGGAAATAACGGTTTCGAGTTCTGTTAGTTGTGTACTTATAGATTAATTAATATAGATTAGTTCATGTTTTTGTAGTCTATTCTAGATCAATTTTATTGAGTATCGTTTAAAGAAATCGTTACCCGTTCAAAGTTGCTGTATCTGGATCTTCATTTTGATAAGTTTTTTTTTGTCAAAGGAAGCGATAAAAATAAAAAGTCTTTCTACTCAATATAAATTTACATAGTCTGTGTTTTATGAAGCAACAAATTTTCTCTTTCGGAGTTTGGAGTAAAAAATTAAGATTATTGCAAGCAGTGATACACTTCTCCACATAGATCGCAATTCCCTAAATATATTGTCTTGCAATGGGAAAAAGCAGTATGAAATGTTAGGAACTGATTCGCAAATTTTATTGAAACATAAACGACAGTAGTACTCCTACGAGTTTAGGACGACCACGCTCGCCTTTTAAGTCCTCGTCCCAGAAACACACAGCAAGTAGCTTCCACCATTCCATCGCGTCGGTTGGAACTTCAATAATGAAATATCGACTTTCATCAATCTGCAATGAGCGCGAAACAATGTATATAACTTCTTTCGCAAACGCGTTTGAAATACGCGATCCGAGATCTGCAATCACGCACTTACCGGATTCCAAATACAACTCCGATGCGTTCACGATTCTGTTGGAAAAAATGGCGTCGGCGCCTTCCATTTTTCCTCGAAGATTTCTTCATTTATCTTCTACTATAATTCCTTAATTTAACCACAAGAAATCCCTTAAAGATGCTACTTGAATTTACTATACAAAAATTGCTTACAAGATTAAACCCAACTGATTCATCAGAAATAAAATGAATTACATTATTATTTCGCATGTTCCAAACTCGTTTTCCAAGATTTCTGGATTTTAACGTATTTCCCAATAACACATAAGTAAAGAATATTACAGCGAGCGTATTAAATATTCAAGGAAAACGAATAACGGAAGAAAACCCGCTGACAACAGTGCCGCATGAATCCCAATATCACCTCCATACGTTCCTCAATTATTTTTATTACCGAATGAATTGATTCTCCTATCGGGCGCGATAGTGTCCGTACATCGGCACCATAATCCTCCCCCGCAACGGGACCGTAACTCCCCAGCGAAAGAATCTAGGTCCGCTTTCATCGGTTTCCTTTCGACGGTGGCTCGCCTCCGCAGCAGGTGAAATAACAGGTGCCTGGACAAGCTTAGGTCCGTTCTCCATTAATGTCTCCTTGGGGACCAAGTGGGTTCTCCGGTTTCATTGCGCTCTCCTCGTAACCGCTCAGCCGACGATAAACTTTCGTCTGTGGGCGATAAGCGTGATCGAGCGCGCGCACCGTTTCTCTTCGTGGCCACCCTTTTTCGCGAAGTCGGCCAGGGTTTGGCGCCATCCGTCCGCGCGCGCAACGCCAGAGAGAAGTTCGTTCGTTTCCCTTCGCGAGAGCGTCTCCGTGAGTCACGCGGGCCACGAATAAACGTTTCTGCTCCAGCTCCTCCGGCGACGACGGATATAAATAATGCCGACAGAACGAGGAAACGCGGGTAATGGCATCGGTTACGTCGGCCCCGGCCGCGGAAAAGTCTGCGCGAAAGGTCGACGGGGTCCGGCCGCAGTAATTTATTCAAGACAACGGAGGCTAGGCACGAGCCGGGCCTGACAAGAGACGCGACTCTTCGTTCCTCGATCTCCGATACGAAGATCGATCTGTTCGGAGGGTCTGTGTCGCCTTCGATGCGCTATTCGATAAGAATGTAGAGGGTGCACGTCTTGTAAGGCCCATCGAGACTCGTGTATACGGCTATTGGAAAATTCTTCACGTGCGTGGAAATGTGACAGCTCTGGGAGCTGATGTGACATCATTTTTCTAAATCGCACTCTGCGCGAGTGGTTGAGTAACTGTACAGGGAAACTTATGAAAATGGCAACTTTGGAGATGATAGTACTCGGATGTTTTCGTATAGAAATCAATTTTAGCATCTTGCCCTACATTTACTTCTCAACTATAATCGATACAACTACTTTGTCATTGATCGTTTAGCGAAGAAAGAAAAATTCTAGGCATATTCTATGCCTACGTTTGCTTCAAAGAGTTAGGGTTGCATTTTATTGTGAAGTATACTTTGTTAATCCACGTGGGTCTGGTTTACCAGAAATTCTGAATCCCATCTGGCGAGCATCTTTTATATTTACAGAAAGTTCACATTTTGAGGCATCTGTTTACCAGACATTGCTAACGTACTGCAGACTATAGTTCAGGTGTTCAGGTATATACTTTAGAGGTTTATGGACGTAGCACAGATTTTGGCACTTTCGTAGTCCTATCGGGCCCTCTCTAGTTAGTGTTTTCAAAAAGGCAAACTGAGGGTTCATCGTATGCTAGATAGATAACTAAACAAGTCAGCTAATATTATTTCACTCACGCGTGACTGTCAAACACGTATATCTAGAAGTAAATATTTTCAAAATCTTTAACTTTTTAAGAACTAACGGCAACAATCTCTCAAGCATAGATTATGTATTAGAGTATAATATAAATTTCGATAGAGTTTCATTTAATTTTAGCGTTTATAACAATTTAAAATTTAAATACAAGTGGAGCCTTAACTAGGTTATTAAGGTCTCAATCATAAGAGTCTATATGTCTCATTCACTATTAAAAGAATCACTTTATAATTAAGTGAAAATTATAACTAGGCGAAACGAATGATAGAAGAAATGATAATCCAAAGATTACAGACAACAAAGGTGTCATGAATCACTACGGGTCGGAATGGTTTTCGGGTCGCTATATTTGGCGTTACAGAAGTCGTGAGTACAACGGGGGTGGTTTCTTCGATTTTGTTTCTTCGTTTCAGCTACTCACACCGATTCTTTGTACATTGTTTTCCCAAAGACAATGGGCGTGCGCGATAAAGGGGAAAATAAAGAATGAATCGTACTCGCGTTCGGAATATCCAAAGCCGCAGGAAGTCCGGATTACATCGTTCGTTACGAGAAACTTCGTAGGCGCTTATATTTAGGCCAGCCCGTAGAAGCTTTACGAGCGCTCGTCCTCGTTAATCTAACGCGGGGCGAACGCATCCGATCGCCATCATGGTTTCGCCGTCCTTTTCTCCCGTTAATCCTCGAAATAGAGTCTCACGGTGATATATTCGATCGAAAATCGTACGGACGAAACCCCGCAATTTATGCAGGGCCGTCGAACACAAAAGTGGTCTCCTTCGTGACAGATTTTCTTAATCCCGTATCGTGTAGCGTTTAAAAAAGACCCCTCGCACAGTGATTTAATATTCACCGGTTGCCAGTTCTTCAACTTTTTTCACCGTCTGTTTACGTTGGCAACAGAGTAGTTTTTCTTTGTCAGCGTGAATGGTTCCCGAGGTTCATTTAATTTTAGAATTAATACGCGATTCGTTGCTCGGCCTGTTTAGATATTCCTTTTCCTTCACGTTTTTCGAGCGATGAGTTAAGACGACGTATTATTTTAGCCGATGAACCGAAACGTGTCCACCTAACTGAAATCAACACGAACCCGTTGCATTAACACTAGATTTACGGACATTTATTCTACATTTTCGTATATTGTTCCTAGAACACTACCTACTCATTCGTATAGAATACAGAAATTAGAGCTTCAATGACAGAGCGGTACAACGCTTATTCGCATAATCGCATGAATCGAAATTGACTTAAACTGTCACCGAATAATTCAAAAATCCCTCAAATTGACGGTAAATCTAGTGCTAAAAGTACAGTCAATCCAAAACATACATTACCCAACACTAGAACTCTCAAACTTCATTCTTCCCCTTAACAATACAAAATAAAAATCAGTAGCAATATTTCTTCTTCATTATCGTATACTTTAAACAATTTCCAATAACATCCCACTATTCAACTTTTCAATTCTCCAGCATTGAAACAAGAAACAAAATAACTAAATCTAAATCAATTCCACCGATCCTCGATTAGAACAAACAAGACAATTAACAGTTTCCGATTCCACCGAGCTATCAATAGAGTCTTCACTTTCCCTTTCGTCCTATGTCGGTTTTCCTATAGGCAGACGTGTCTGTGGGCAACCGGCGCGGCGCGGGGCGGAACACGTTCGACAGATTCAGAGCACGAGGTCCGCCGTGATACAGGATGTTAGGTCATCGTCTCTCCGTTACGTGGGCGGCAGCTCGCGCTCTCGCCTCGCTCTGATTAATACTCCCATAATCTCTGGCTTCGATCTGCCATTTCGCCGTTGCACCCGAGGTCTTCCTCAATGAAACCCACCTTGCCTCGTGCTCTCCGCCAATCGGACGGCCCTTCGTGGAATACGGAATCGGGATCCGGACATCTTATGCATACGGCCGATGACGGTCCCACGAAGATGCCATCTAATCCGCTGACCATATCGGTCCGTGATGCTCGAGGAGCACGCGTAATCTTCCTTATATCTGGGCCAAACCGAGACTGTCCTGCTCGTCCACGTACGTGTAACTGGATCGATGTTGTGTTAGGTCCGGAACACTCTTAGACCCGAGTTCTCTGATTTTCGACCCCTTCCGAACGTCTTCTTCGACGCGTCCCTTACGCCTCTATGAATAGAAAGCGATTTCTAGCGGCGGCAGGGGTCGCAACTCCTTTTTCTCTTGGCGACGGGTGGAAGGAAACGGCGCGTGAAGAAGTTCAGTGGCTTTATGAGGACATTTTCGTGCTGTTATTGTTCCG